ATGAACATAACTATTTATTAACAAAGGCTAGCTTAAAACTAAAAGCTAGTATTTTCCTTTATTAATAAAACTCGGGGTGTTACACAGTCGATTCCGAAGGATGAGGCACTGGAATGAGTCGAGTTCTCTGGCTCGACATTTACGCCGGCACTAGGTCCGACAGAGATTATTTGCACAGAGTCAGAACTCGAGTAGTTGTCGATTTCGCAGGCAAGAGATCCAGAAACAGGGTCGGAGTCAGAATCTAGAAAAAGGAGATAGAGAAAAAACGACAGTCAGCAAACGAGGACAACCATAGTTGTGACTCGGCTTTAGAAGAAATGAAACTATGAGAAAGCAGGGTAATCATATGAGCCACCCCTAAATCGATTCGACTCGGCAAAAAAACGAAAGAAAAAAGATCCCCGAGGATCAGGACGCAAGGATGATTAGTCGACTCATAGAGAAGCAGATAAGTCGATTATTCATATCAAATCGACTGGCGAACGAAAACACTTGGGAAAACGAGAAAATCCACAGTTGAAGATCTAATAAAAAATCGCCAGGAGATCATCTAAAATCTCCTAGAATTCGATGAACCCATGAGTCTCAAGAACATCACCCAGAAAAAAAAAAGGAAAGAAAAATCGCGCATAGCAAGAAGTTGAAAAGCGAAAGAAGAAACTTACACGTGATGATGGTTGGAGAAGTCCTTAAAAAGCCGGAAAGGAACGCCGGAAAAGAAAGCAAATGCCGGAAGCTGGTGATGCCTTCACTGCCGGAGAAGAAGAGAGAGATTAAGAAATCTGAGTGCGAAAAAAGTGAGAGAAGGGAAAGGACAGGATTATTTAAAGAGGAAGCAGAAAAACCCTAGCCTTCATATTAAAGGCAGATCTAACGGTTGAGATGGCGTACGGAATACGAAGCGGTGGAGTGAGAAATGTCTTGTCAGACACCATACCTTTTTTGAATTTCAAAATTTGAAAGGAAATCTGAGCTTATCCAACCAATATACGAATTTGTACAAGTAAAGCGAAAGGACTATCCGCGAGTCGAGAAGCAAATGAAGACGATTAGGAACAAGGAAATCGGTCGGGAAGAAGTCTTATGAGATATCAATCCCAGGACACATGTATAGAAAAATGCAATATGTAGAAAGGCTTAGGCTAACTACTCAATCGACAAATCTACTCTTAAGCTCAGAATCACTTCGAGTAATTTTTGGGGGGACTAGATGATATAGCCATACTGTCGTATAACGGTTCAGACAGTATCGAGTCGACTTCTCAGAGGTCGATTCTTCCGAGAAGACTTCTTATATTATCACCAGTCTGTCAGGGCCCGAATGTCTCTCTCAATTAACCTCCAGATGTTGACTAGTAGAAGTCGACTCCCTTCAAAAAGATGGACAGGCGCACCAGGATCTACTGACGATGGAGGATAACCTAGGTCGACTCGAGTTGGTACCCCGAGTCGACTTAGGACATCTCGAGGCTCATAGGTCTCTTACGACTCCGATATACTTCAACATATCATAAGGAAGGTATTAAGGATAAGAAGGAATCTTGATGCTGACTAGGAGATGGACAAAATGCAAACCGACCAGGGTATTTTGGACATTTCCATTAAGTTGGCCAGGGCATTTTGGTCACTTCAGGTAAATGTTTTGCTTATATATAAAGGAGCTAAGGTAATCCCAAACCCTAACTCCCATTCACTCTACACTCTCCTCCATTGCTGCTGCTCCCTCAGAGTAGCTCTCTTCATCTCTCTCATATGTTGACTTGAGCGTCGGAGGCTCTACGCCGGAAACCCTTCCGGCGTTGAGTTTTTGCAGTATTCTCGCAGTCTAGCAACGGGTCGGAGGCGATTTAGACAAATTTGGGCTCACTTCTACCGGTTCACTCTAGATCTGAGAGTAAACCCATCAGTGTTCATTTTGAATTGTTGGATTGTCTGTATAAACCGAATTATATCGTTTTGTATATATTGTTTGTTCAACAAATTATTGTGTTTCATTTGTTTGTTTATAGTGTATGTTGGATTATTATTGGCGAATATGTTGATATTAGTTGCTTGAACAAGTATATTTGGTTGTGAACGTGTATATTTGGTTGTGAAATGATCTCTAGTAGTTTTTTTTTTCAATTGCTAAAATCGTATTTCACTAATACGTTTTCAATTTTTAACTTAGAAAATGTATTTTGCAAATGCGTTTTCATCCAAATTGAATTGCTCTAAATTGATTTTAGGGTAAAATCGATTTTATGATTTAGGAATTAAGGTTTTCTCAGAAAACGTATTTCTGAAATACATTGTTAATGAAATTGATTTAGGTTAAAATTGATTTTTTTTAAAAACGTATTTCAGTAATACGGTGAATTTATTTTTTACATAAAAATATATTACGTGAATACGTTTTTTATTATTTTTATTTTACCAATTTTTTTAAGTTTTCTTTTCTCTGCATTCATATAAATTTAATTTTTTTTTTCCTTTTTAAAACGTATTCACGTAATACGGTTTATTATTTAAAATAAATTCTAAAAAAATGAAGTATAAAACGCATTAAAAAAGTACATTTTCTTTGTTCCCAGTAAAAAAACGTATTTTACTAATACATTTTATGTTTGATTAATTTACTTAATTAAGGTAATTAATTATTCTAATTTAAAACGTATTATGCGAATACGGTTTATTTGGAAAATTGAATAAACCATATTGCATAAATACGTTTTTCTTTCAAAAGCGTATTCGCTGAATACGAGTTTTTTATTTTTGTCTACTCGGTTTTTATTCTTTTTTTTTTCCACTTTATTTTAATTTACTTTTTTTAGTAAAAAAATTGTAAAAAACAACATTTTTCCCTTCCATTAATATCCCACCATCAATAATGGCCTAAAAGGAGTTCAAATTCGGGAGTTAATAAACTTCTTCCCGCCCGGCTGGTCACAGATGACAAAAACCCCGCGCAGACGAACGTTTATAAAAATAAAACCCTCTTCCATCTGCAGGGGTAAAAGGAAATCTTTCCAGTGCGTGCGAACATGGAGGGCACCGCGTCATCGCCTGTAGATCTCTCGTCGTCGCCGATTAAAAACCCTAACCCTAAAATTATTCCCAACCCGGCGAACAATTCACGGAGCACCATCCATATCGGCGGGATACCGGTGGAGTTCCCATACCGGCCTTATGGGACCCAGCTGGCATTCATGAATCGCGTCATCTCAACGCTCGATCGTTCTCAAAGGGATGGCCATTGCCATGCACTGCTCGAGTCGCCCACCGGCACTGGGAAGTCACTGTCTCTGCTCTGCTCCGCTCTCGCGTGGCAACAAAATCAGAAGACTAAGAATTTACTTGCGAAGGTGACGCACTCAAGCATGAGGCCTCACCCCGAGGCTATTAACGACCCCCTTAATCATGGTGGGGGTTTCATTCCTGAGACCCAGCCGCCAGGTATTGGAATCCCGCGCAAAGAAAAAGAAATAGTTAACTGAAGTTGGATTCTGTTTGTTTGTGTTTGTTGTTGTGGGCAATGGATCAAATGGGCTATTTTCATTTAGAAATTGAAAAAAAAAAGGAAAGAAGACAGAATATCCCTCTGGGTTGATATGTTTCCCTCTGTGTTGATATGCTTATTGTTCCTTTGCTAGTTAGCTGAAAGGGTTTTGTGAATTGTTGATAGTAATATATTAGTTATGTAACTTTGCATACTAGATTACTTATTTATGCAGTTGAGTGGTGATATTATGTCATCATCTTCTCTTGGACTGGGTTTCATAGTTAATAAGAAATGGTTGGTCTAATTACATGTTGTGTCCCCTTCCTGGATTTGAATGGGTAATTTATCTTTTCTCTTTAGTATCTTAATGTCTTTTGTTTGTCTTTTGGAAATCCAGTAACACCTCAACCTCCCACAACTAATGCCAAAACAGAGAAGCGAAGATTGACTCCAACTATCTTTTACTCATCGTGAGTCTCATAAACCAAGCATTTATATATATATATTTTGTATGGTGAACTTCATAAAAGCATTGAATGGTCTTTAACTCATGTTCTGCAATCATTTTTTAACTTCATGTTCATCAAGTTTGCCTATTTGTGCTGTTCAAGTATATCTAATGAAAAAAAATGTCTTAATTTTCAAAGAATTCTATTTTGTATTAGGAGAACACATTCACAAATCAAACAAGTGATTGGAGAGTACAGGAAAACCTCTTACAGGGCTTCGATGGCAGTTTTGGTAGGTTACTGCTCTCTTAATATTCTATCTTCAGTATCATGGTAAGAACATCCTAGTGTTTTCCAACGTTTTATAAAGTCTGAAGAATATTGAATGACCAAGTTGAATAAAATGAATATCATGTAGGAAAAATTGCACGTGTGAGGTATACTTGTTTTTTGGGTATAGTTGTAAACTTGTAATTTCAATATATCTTAGGATGTGGAATCATTGTGGCTACAACAATAAATTTCAGATTATTAATCACATTGAGACTAGATACAATTGGGATAAGGTTTTTGTTGGAAGCCCATCTTCCTCATTTTGCTTGGACTCCACGCCCATCTTCCTCATTTTGCTTCTTGTTGCTGCATTCTTGCTGAACTATTTATTGTCAAAGTAAAAAGGAAGCCTATAAAAGCTACACAGGCCTAGGTGACAGGCTAGATCTGAAAATTATTTATTGGATGAGGAAATTAAAGTTATAGATAAAATTTGAGTTGAAATTTAGCTGGGCTGGTAAGAGAATTTGTGAACACTAGATGTCAATTCAAGTCTTTCATCCTCTTGCTCGAGTTGAAAAGTATCTAGTCCTTAACGGTTAAGTGTTAACACATAGTATTTTCACCCCCTGGCACATAGTATTTGTGTTTGAATAGCAGTTCATCTCGCTTATCCTGTTATTCTTATTTACATCTGCCATGTTTCAGGGGTCAAGAAAACATTACTGTACAAACCCGCACTTACGTGGTGAAGAAAATGTTGACGAACAATGGTTGCTTCTTCTTCTTTGAAATTAACAAATCCTTATACATATCTTTATGCTAACATGTTTTTTCTTTTTAATATTATTCAGTAAATTACTTATGAAGAATAAACAAGATTCTTGCCCACAATTTAAGTAAGTAAACTTTCTTTGGCTATGATACCATCTATTTCTTCTATGCTTATGCTATTGCACATGCCCTCACTCAAACCTATTACCTATCAGAAATGTTCATAAGGTCAGAGGACATCCTTCTCTTCAGAAAGGAGGCTGTCATGAGGTCCATGATATCGAAGACCTTGTCAAAGTTGGCCAAGTAGTCAAAGGTCCTAATCTGCTCCATTTTAGGTAGTTTCTTTCATTAAGTAATTCGCTAAGCCTTTAAAGTGGTCTTCGTTTTCAGGTTGTTCCTATTTTGCAGCACGTTCCATTGCACAAGAAGCAGATTTGGTCTTTTGTCCGTATAATTATATTATCAATCCAGTCATCAGGGATGCAATGGAAATTGATATTACGGGAAGCATTATCATTTTTGATGAAGCGCAGTATGTTATTCCTGATTACATGTCCCCTAAAGATAGTATACTTTGAGCCACTTTGTTGTTGAGAAACAACCAGTCAATTTTTTGATGCTGTATAAAATATTAAATTGTTGATAAAGGCTTTCATTGTTGATTTCAAAGCTGGGTATCACAGAAAGACAATTTTTTATAGTAGGAAGAGGAATATATGTTAGTTTTTGGGAACTGTCTTCTTGTTTCATGATCTAACAAATGAAGTTAAGATTAAATATTGAAGCTTAAGTATATGGAAATTTGAAGTTTTCACCAACTACTTATTCATAAGTAACATTCCTACATAATATATTTTTCGCAATCATATGAACTCTATTTCTTTTGTTTGTTCATTTTAATTCTGGCCAGTAATATAGAAGACATTGCTCGTGATGCTGGTAGTATCGATCTTGATGAAGAAGATTTGATATGTAAGTGTTAACCTGCAGCTTTATTAGTTTATTACTTGTGGCACAATCTCATATTGCTTTGTGTGTTTGAAGATTTGCAGACAGAACTAGGGCAACTGTGCCTGAATGATGACATAACTTACAGACCATTGTTTGAGATGACAGAGGTGCTGATCTTGGAGCTTTTACTTGTTTCATAAGTTCTGTTATTGCAATAAGTTTCTTTTCCCCCCTTTGTTTTTTGTCTGTAGGATATCTTGAGTTGGATTGACCAGAGAAAAGTTACACTAGTCAAGCGTGAATCTCAGCTCTACTTCCGTTGGTTAGTCATTTATACTTATCCTATCATCTCATTTTTGTCAGTGCTATTTATTCAGTCATGTGCTGCAGTAATATGACCTGGTAAAATATTTTTGAGACAGCAAAAAAAAAAAATGATGCAATGGTCTTGCTTTAGTTGGGTTATCTTATATTCTTTAGCCTGAACTTAAGGTAGTGCTAGTCCAGTAATTTGCAATGAGCTTTAAGCTGTACAATGAATTTAGTTTTGCCATTGGTTAGTCATTTGGCTGTTTTTTCAAATTTAATGGCTAATGGTGGAATATGGTGCACGCTTTTAGATGAAGTAGCGATGCAGGAACATGTTATTACATTTTATCATATAGAAAGTTTGATTGTGTGCCCTCGGACTTCCAAGTTTCCATATTAGTGGGTTGTTGCAAGTTTGATTTTCAAGGGAAGTGCCCTAGATTCGTGCTTGAGAATGTAGATCTTGTCTTTTGACCAACAGATAAGGAATTGCAACTAATCGTGCACCATTTTGCCCATGCTATGATGGTATTATGAATGGGCTTTTCCTCGTTGTCAAATTCAAATGTCATCTTAGCCAAAGATTCTCTAGTCAGATGAAAAATTGTATAACTAATATATATCAAATGGCTAGAAAAAATTTACTAACTCAAATCAGGCTAATTCCCATAGAATTCAGTTTGGCCAAGAATACTGTTTTAGCGTTCTCATATCACTACTGCCCTCATTTTGTTCTGAAGATCATTTGATTGTATTTCGGACCAAACTTTGGAAATTATTGTGATTCGTTTGTTGTCTTTGTATGAACTCAGTTGGACTGGAGACAAGGCTTTAAAGGAGCTACAAGAAGTTAATATCTCACTGCAGAATTTTTCAATCTTGCATGACTGTGCCAAGCAGGTAGTTCAAATAATTAGTAGCGGTCAATTTTTGAGACCGCCTTCTGCTAGCTTACATATGACATGCTTGGTAATTTGTGTGGGCACTCATTCTCTCACTATGATGGTTTGAGCTGAAGGCAATCAGAATTGCTTCAGAAGCTGAGGGCGATATCACTTGTCTAAGTGGACTTGCAGCAACTATATTGGAAGGTATTATTACACTTGACTCCTGTCCCGAATTTAAATTTATTGTTAAATTGAGTATGGTCATCGTATAGGACTGTTTTCTTCACTCAATTACTTCTTTTCTGGGAGTGGCATCCATGCATGTGACTATGAACTAGCCTTGCAAAGATCCGTGAAGAAAAATGAAGGTAATTGATGATATGATTGATAGGGTCTTGACTTATGTTTGTTGCTTCACCTCTATATTTGCTCAAATAGATTCTCAATGTGATTTTTCGTGGGAAATGCTGCAGGTGGTTGGAGAACAACGTTCAGCCTGTGGTGCATGAATCCAGCTGTCGTTTTCAAAAGCATATCTGGAATTTCGCAATCTGTGATTCTAACTTCTGGGTAAATTTTGTTGTATTCATGGTACTTCTAGCATCGACATACCTCTTTTCTGTAATTATTGATTTTTTTGTGCTTTCTGTTTTGTGCAATATAAGCTTCCTAGTGCTATACCGTCCTCAGATGGTTAAACAGATTAATACTGCTTACTAAGCAGTTAGATATTTGAAAAAATATACTTTTGCATTGCAGCTGGGTACCATAACCAACTCATCTCTTATCATATTGAAGTTCATTTTCATGAGCTTGTTTACCCTTCTTATAGCATTCTATCTTATATCTTTCATATATTATCTATATATAAATTCTGCACATGCGTATGTAAATATGGAGCTTGACAGTATAATGCAACAAATGGAAATATAAATTTCTTTCACTTACCATACAGGACCCTATCACCACTGGGTACTTTCTCTTCTGAACTTGGTGTTCAGTTTGGCACCTGTCTGGAAGCTCCTCATGTCATAGATGTTGATTCACAAGTGCGATGCTCTTCTTTAAATGCTTTGAATTAAAGTAATTAAACATGTGGTCCAATATGAAAGCTTGCTCATATTCCATAGGTATGGGTAGCTGCTATTTCCAATGGTCCTGGTAGATATCCACTAAATGCAAGTTACAAGACTGCAGATGAATATGCTTTCCAGGTTTTATGTACCTTCCAAACTGAAGTTGACAGGATTTTGTTTCCCTCGTGAACATGAATGAAATTTGGTTGTGTTTTCAAAAAGGATGCAATTGGGTCGTCTCTGGAGGAAATCTGTAAGATTGTTCCTGGTGGGTGCCTGGCTTTCTTTCCTAGCTACAAGCTGCTGGATAAATTGTGCAATAGATGGGAACAAACAGGCCAATGGTCTAGACTAAATGCTCAGAAATCCATTTTCATTGGTAAGTTTGTTTAGATATCTGCCGAGCAAACACTGGACGCTGAATTGTTAAATTTAACTCTCTTGGTATCTATAGTTTCTTTTCAACATATTCAGTTCAGCTACACAGTTTGCTGCATAAACGTTTATTGAGTCTACATTACCAGTTGATTCTGTTTCTTTTCTTCTTTTTTTCAATATGTGTGTGTATTTATTAACGTTAGAACCGAGAGGAAGCACCCAGGATTCTTTTGAGGCGATTTTGAAGGATTACTATGATGTAATTTGCCATGGCACAAGACAGTTGAGTGGGAGAAAGATTCGGGGTAAAAAGTTAGGTCTAAAAAATGGCAAATCGGTGGAGCCCACAAAAGATTCTAAGAAAGAAGGTGCTGCATTTCTGGCAGTTTGTCGAGGCAAGGTAAATTATGGAATTACTTTAACTTTTTGCATTTTGCTTAATTTGAAGGTTTTATCTTTATATGAAGTAAATATTGCCTGAATATTTGTTGTCTTTGACTCTGAATTGTCTACTAATTCACCGTCTTTATTAGTCAATCTTAAATCTTTGATGCATACTGCTGCAGGTGGTTTTTAATCTAGTCAAATAAAATAAACCTTTGGGTTTTGGCCTGCCTTTCT